TAATTAGACATGTTTTTTGTTAAAATGTAGTATAATCATCCAGAAAAATTAAGAAAATAAAAAAAACTGAATCCAGAAAAATTAAAACGGAAAAAAAGATTTTGGAAAAAATAAAACAGGCTAATTTGGGAAAAATAAAACGGATTTCATAGGGCCTTAAAAATATCATGCATCTGAAGCTATAATTTTAATACTAAGCAACAGTGCATATTATATAGGGGCTATTTTAATTTTTTTAAATGGCGCTCACTCGTTTTTGTGAAAGACCCAAGAAGGACCATGCACAGTCACTTTCCACACAGGCACACTTCATGTTTGGTTGAAATAATCCTTAAGCATGTAAATTTATAATTTCCTTCAGTTTAATTTAAATGTGCAATTAAAATAAATTAAAATAAATTTATATTTTAAAGTTTAGAATTAGACAGCCTTGTGTTGTGTAGAGACAATTGCATAGTGAAAATTACCCCAACGCACCACCTAGTGTCCAACCTACTCTAATACTATTATAACCTGTTTAAATGTGAACAAGGGATTTACAACATTAAAGAAATCTTTTATTTATAACATGTACATCTACATGAAAAATCTAAAATATTAGACAACTATGGTACACGGTCGTGCAGCAGCGAGCAACAGTGAAAGGAACCTCAAGGTTGTAAATGTGTGAAATTGTATAGGGCCCCATTCCTGTATTTTGCCTGGGGCCCCCAGATCACTAAATCCGCCCCTGCATATAATATTTGTTAAATAATTATTGTTTAATCTGTTTTAACACAATTAGAGAACTATTATAACATCTCAAATAACTAAAATAAATAAAATGTGTTTTTGCATAATTTTTGATGAGTTTTGTTTTGAGAATTGTTATTTAGGCTGTTTCTGGCATGTCTCGCATGTAAATTCGTGCGTGTTCACCCATTCAGTTGGACTGTAATTTGCAGCTGTGTTAGAAAATGTTAGAAAAACAGCAGCAATGCATAATTCTGTAAAAGACTTTTAAAAACTTGCACTGACGAGGGAGAGAGCCCGTCAATCAGCCAACAAGTAATGGTAAGACTTTCAGTTCCCTTTCAGTCGGTCACTCCCGACGTCACGTCGGATGACCGACGAATTGGGATCTAGCTTAGAGAGACCAATCCACTTAGAGTGTAAACTAAACGAGCCAATGCACATTGGCATGCGATTATTGCATTCAGCTGCCGCTGATCACAGCGTGAGTATAAGTAGGCAGCAGATGCAGCGCATATTCAGCTTTTCGAGCGGTTCAATCGTTCTGCTCCTGACCTTCTGCTTAACCGAGTGATCTACGCGAGTTCAAGCATGCTCTTCGAGGGCTCTCGTGCTGGCGGTACGGTGCTTCAGCGGCGGTGGTTTTCCCGTGTCGAGTGGGTTGCACACATCAGGCTGCACTACCCCCTGTGTGTGTTGCAAGCGGCCATCTCCCCTGTGCGCTTCAGCACACTAAAAGATCATTTCTAAAAGAGCATTTCTGAAAGAGCATTTCTGAAAGAGCTCCACGGGTGGAACGTCTTTTTAAAGACGCGTCTTTTTAAAGATGTCTTTCCATCTGTGGGTTTCTGGGTGCGGTCATTACCGGGTGATGGTCACGATCGCTGCCTCTCATGTCTGGGCATTAAGCACGTTGAGGCTGCTTTTGTGGATGAGTCATGCTCCCATTGCGGGAGTATGACCATCTCGGAGCTGCGGACCAGACTTTGTTTCCTGCAAAGGGGCGGAGTGCCTGTGCCACTGCCTAGATCTAGGGTTACTCCTAGTGGCAGCCGAGGGCGCCCTACTTCTGTCACTGGCCAGACTGGTCTTACGGTGACAGTGAGGAATTCCGCTCTGAGGGCTCCTCCGTCTGTCGGCACTCCGATACCAGTGGGGCTGTCGAGAGAGCAGGCTGGACCCTCAAAAAGGGTACCACCTGTATCTTCCGAGGCTCCCCCCGGCGATCGGATGTCGATTGCTGCATCAAAGGGTGAGCCAGACTTTTCTGGAGAGGAAGATCCGTCAGCGCTGCCGCTCTCTGGACAGCCAGCGGTGCCAGATTCGGATCCGGAAAAGATGGCTATGCTTTCCTGGGCCGCTGAGAGTGTCGGGCTCAAGTGGAATCTTCCACCGCGTCCCGAACCCTCGAGGTTGAACGATTGGTTTCTCGGGGTGGCTCGCACTGGTTCTCAGGGCCCCACCCCAGTGCCTTTCTTCCTGGAGGTGCATGACAAGCTCACTGGGTCATGGACGGCACCTTTCACTGCCAGAAACCGCCCCAGTGGCTCATCCTCCCTCACCGCCCTTGATGGTTCCCCAGGTGGAGCGGTCGGTTGCGATGCAATTGTGTCCCACAGCGTGAGTATAAGTAGGCAGCAGATGCAGCGCATATTCAGCTTTTCGAGCGGTTCAATCGTTCTGCTCCTGACCTTCTGCTTAACCGAGTGATCTACGCGAGTTCAAGCATGCTCTTCGAGGGCTCTCGTGCTGGCGGTACGGTGCTTCAGCGGCGGTGGTTTTCCCGTGTCGAGTGGGTTGCACACATCAGGCTGCACTACCCCCTGTGTGTGTTGCAAGCGGCCATCTCCCCTGTGCGCTTCAGCACACTAAAAGATCATTTCTAAAAGAGCATTTCTGAAAGAGCATTTCTGAAAGAGCTCCACGGGTGGAACGTCTTTTTAAAGATGTCTTTCCATCTGTGGGTTTCTGGGTGCGGTCATTACCGGGTGATGGTCACGATCGCTGCCTCTCATGTCTGGGCATTAAGCACGTTGAGGCTGCTTTTGTGGATGAGTCATGCTCCCATTGCGGGAGTATGACCATCTCGGAGCTGCGGACCAGACTTTGTTTCCTGCAAAGGGGCGGAGTGCCTGTGCCACTGCCTAGATCTAGGGTTACTCCTAGTGGCAGCCGAGGGCGCCCTACTTCTGTCACTGGCCAGACTGGTCTTACGGTGACAGTGAGGAATTCCGCTCTGAGGGCTCCTCCGTCTGTCGGCACTCCGATACCAGTGGGGCTGTCGAGAGAGCAGGCTGGACCCTCAAAAAGGGTACCACCTGTATCTTCCGAGGCTCCCCCCGGCGATCGGATGTCGATTGCTGCATCAAAGGGTGAGCCAGACTTTTCTGGAGAGGAAGATCCGTCAGCGCTGCCGCTCTCTGGACAGCCAGCGGTGCCAGATTCGGATCCGGAAAAGATGGCTATGCTTTCCTGGGCCGCTGAGAGTGTCGGGCTCAAGTGGAATCTTCCACCGCGTCCCGAACCCTCGAGGTTGAACGATTGGTTTCTCGGGGTGGCTCGCACTGGTTCTCAGGGCCCCACCCCAGTGCCTTTCTTCCTGGAGGTGCATGACAAGCTCACTGGGTCATGGACGGCACCTTTCACTGCCAGAAACCGCCCCAGTGGCTCATCCTCCCTCACCGCCCTTGATGGTTCCCCAGGTGGAGCGGTCGGTTGCGATGCAATTGTGTCCAAAAGGACACTTAAACATGTCATACATGCAGCATATTTTGAATATTACATATTTGTTTGCATCAAATAAATCATAGCATTACTGATTACTTCGGCTGTTTGTATAGCCTAATAGGGCAACGTATCCTAGGAGATACTACTCATTAAATCCATAATATATAAAATATTTCAAAAACTCTTTTGAATATGTTTTACTTAAGTCCAGATGATATAAAAAGTGACATGAAATGATTTTTTGCTGATAATTTTCAACTCTTGCCTGTTTCAGGGTTAATCTCTGGTTGTTATACCAGAAATACAATAGTATATCAAGATATTTTTCCTCATGAAATACTGAAAATTCTGTCTGTCATTTCAGGAAATGCAGATGATAGACATTCATTGTTTAGATCTGGTAACATGGACGTGGACACAAATGTAAGTAATGTTTTTTTCTCTGAGTGGCCTGATTACGTTATTCATTCAAAAAGAGCACAATATCAAAGTTGAACAATCTACATGAAGTGCTTTGGCTCTTTAAATACAAATTGTTTTCCTGCACAGATAAAGGAGCATATCTGCCATGTAAAAGTAAATGTTAACATAGTAGCACTCTCATAAGTTCGTTATATTAAACTATATCTGTATATTTGCTAAATAAAATGTTCCCATAGTGCTATACAGTTGTTTTTGGTGGTTTAGCACACATTCTCAACAGGTTGTATCATCTGTAGTATACAGTGCAGTATGAGTTAAATTCAGAAGTTCAATATTTTTTTTTCTAAATGTGTGGTATATGATATTTATGCAAAGGCATTTTAGTGCTGTGTTAGGCTTCTTTTCCTAAGAACGCAAGCCACATTTAAGGAGATGCCGCACACAACCACTGCTCAACAAAACACATTTTAACTATAAAAATAAACGTGCAATGTTTAGTAATCAAGGTAGATGATAGTCGGTATGTTGGAAAGTGCTTGTAAGTAGTATAAATAACAGCAGTCCAAACAAACAACAAATAATCAAAATGCAAAAGTCCAGTCTAGAGGAATATGAATCAAAACGGGAACTCCTTTAGTGCGGTGGGGATCTCCTGTAACCTCCATATCCCATGAGCGGTCTAGCAGTCTCATGAGCAGACACAGATGCCAACAAGCAAATAGTCCCCACACTCTATTGTTCGTACGAGTCCCTTTTAAAGCACGTTGATTTAGTCCAGGTGCAAAACCACGTCAGCCAATCACCTGCAGTCACCTATAACTCAGGAACAAACACAGAGTGATCCACTGAGACATCACACACCCCCTAAAAAGTTCCTGCATCTCATAAGGATTCCGCAAAACACCAAACAAAATCAAAAAGTGCATTAGTGTTCTCACAGTCATCTGAATGATCCCAGTCGGCTTCCTTAACCTCAGCAATCTGGATCCTGAAAGCAAATTAAGACAACAAAGAAAGCAAAGGAATAACAGAATTAACCGTTCCAACACAACATTACACTATTCGCTATGGTCAGGGAACACGACTTAAATTGTAAGGCTGTAAAAATAGAATCCAATGCATTAACTGCTGACTTGGGGACTGTAAAGAATGCAAAAAGGTTAGAGGGTTATGATCAGAATAAACTTCTATAGGCAATCCTCCACCCACATATACATCAAAGTACTGAAGAGCCCAAATTAATGTTAATGCTTCTTTCTCAGTTACAGAGTAGTTATTTTGAAAAGTATTGAACTTACGAGAAAAGAAACAAAAAGGGTAATCGAATCCAGTCTGTCCCCCTGGTGCCTTTAGGAAGACAATATGCATTTAAAGTTGTAAATATAGGAGGAATGTGTCAAAGTCATTTATACAGTATATGCCAAACTTCCTGCTGGCATGTAGATGTCTTTAGGTCAGGACGTTTATCAAACTGAGTTAGTCTAAAACATGACATATCCTGTTGCCAACAGGTGGCGCTATGATTATAACTGAATATTGGCCTATTAGATGTCTTCAGGCCAGGACTCTTATCAAACAAGAAATTTAGGGCAGATTGGACATTGCATGTTTTAGTTAAAGTAAAACATGACATTTCCTGTTGCACTAAAACAGCTGGCACTAAAAATTACAACTGATTAATGGCATGTAGAAGTTTTCAGGTCAGGACTCTTACCAAACGTGTGAAGTTTGGGGGAAAACGGACTTTGCATGTTTAAGTTAGTGTTAAACAAGTAATTTCCTGTTGCCAGCAGGTGGCGCTATGATTATAAACTGAATATTGGCCTTTAGATGTGATCAGGACAGGACTCTTATCAAACGTGTGAAGTTCGGGGCAGATTGGACATTGTATGTCTGACTTACAACAACTTCCTGTTTCATTACATTAATAGCATGCTTTAGCACTTAGTAAGTGTTGATAGCATGTTTGAGCATGTTGCTAGCCTATTTAACACTTGCTGATGCTTTTTAATATGTTGCTAGTAGTCCGTAACAGTGTTAAACATGTCACTTCCTGTTGCCAGTAGGTAGCACTATGAGTATAACCGAATATGGGCATGTAGATGTGTTCAGCCCCGGAGTCTTGTTAAACATGTGAAGTTTGGGGCAGATTGGACATTGCATGCCTGAGTTACAGCAACTTCCTGTTTCATTGTACTAATAGCATGATTTAGTAAATTAGCTAAGTGTTGCTTACATGCTTTGAAATGTTTCTAGCATGTTGCATGCTAAGTTTGGGGCAGATTGGACACTGCATGCCTGAGTTAAAGCAACTTCCTGTTTCATTGCATTAATAGCATGTTTTAACACTTAGCTAAGTGTTGCTAGCATGTTTTTAGCATGTTGCTAGCCTATTTAACACTTGCTGACGCTTTTTAAAATGTTGCTAGGAGTCCATAACACTGTTAAACATGCCACTTACTATTGCCAGCAGGTGGTGCTATGACTATAACTAAATATGGGCATGGACATGTGTTCAGGACAGAACTCCTATCAAACATGTGAAGGGTAGATTGGACATTGTTTGCCTGAGTTACAGCAACTTCCTATTTCATGGCGAAACATTGAAATTTGTCAGGCTGAAAACTCAAGATCTTCACAATTTAGCATCGGAAAGGCGTTATAATTACACTCACCAAATTTGAAGATGATCCGATCAAAACTGTAGGAGGAGTTTGTTAAAGTATGAGGCATGAAAATGGCAAAAACAGCACAAAACTCATAGAGGAAATTCAAAATGTCTGACTTTGCGTTTATGACTTCGCTCCAAGAGACGTTTTTGTAGGTATTGGGACATTACATGAATGTACTGAATTTCATACACATAAATGAAACGTAGTGGGAGGGGCGCTTCGTTAAAATTGTATAGGTGGCGCTATCAAGCCATTTTGCCACGCCCAATTCTGAAGCCCATATCAGATGTAGATTTTCACCAGTTATGATGCATGTGCAAAGATTCATGAGTTTGAGCATGTTTAGGCCCTAAAAAATGCGATTAATTTTGGAGAAGAAGAAGAAACGAAGCAATTCCAAGCAATTCCTAAATACACCATGCAACCTTCCAGACCAAATACCACTTTATTCATTAATCTCTGGAAGGTAGTGGGTGCATTTCACAAACCGAAACTCATAACAGAGTATGAATATAACCCCGAGGATGTAATAAACAAATGTATTTCTTGAGCTTGTGGAGTCAAAGGAACTTGCCAATATCCCTTTTATAAGATCCAATTTGCTTACAAAATGCACTGCACCCACTTGATCCACTCAATCCTCCATTCGAGGAAGTGGAAAGGTATCAGGTTTAGTAATAGCATTTAACTTAAGGTAATCAGTACAAAATCTATAAGTAGAATCTGGTTTCTTTACCAGTAAACATGGTGAAGCCCAACTGGAGCACAAAGGAATTGCTATCCCATTCGCAAGCATATATTGCACTTCAGACTCCAGTACCTGCTACTTACTGATAGGAACCCTGTAAAATTGCTGACGAATAGGCCACGCATCTCCCACATCCACATCATGCTGGATCAAATGTGTGCAAGATGGTAGGTACATCAGCAAACAAACTAGGAAAATTAAGCACCATTTTTTTCCTTTTTTTTTTTCTTCTCAGTTCTAACCTATGTAACTCTGACAAATGTGAAAGCAAAGCATCCAAATTCTGAATTATTTAACCTAGGAAGAAAAACACAATCCTTAGGGACAACCATATCTTCCCCTCCTTCTACAAAAAAAAAAGGTTGTGATTTATCAAATGAAACAGAAGCAACAGTGACAGCAAGACTAATAATCTGAGTTACTGAATTACGGGAATGATAAGGCTTAAGTAAATTGACATGAAAAGATTGCCTAACCTTCCACCAATCTGGAGTTGCAATTTGATAATTTTGGTCAGACATTTTACGAAGAACTGTGTATGAGCCTATAAATCGTGCACAAAAAGGAGATCTAGGTGAAGGCAACAAAACCAACACCTGATCTCCTGATGTAAAATCACGACATTCTGTAGGTTTATCAAAGTGCCTTTTCATTTTACTCTGTGCTCCAATAAGATTTTTTCTGAGCACTTACCGTATTGGCCCGAATATAAGATGACCCTGATTATAAGACAACCCCCCTTTTTCCAGATGTACCTTTTGGGGAAAGACTTTTTAAAAACCAAATCTTGTTTTTTCTCAGTAAAACACATTTTGTCTTAAATAATTTTCATTTTGCATATTTTTCCTATTTTAATTTGTTTTGAAAGTATGGTAAAAACTGGTAAAATGTACCAACAATCACATTTAAAAAATATACACTTCTTGATATACCATTAAAAAAAAAACAAAAAAAAAACAGGTAGCCCATCTGAATTAGGAATTTAGGCTAATAGTAGCCTACCAAAATCTTATTAACAGTAGAAGTTAAATCTTACTGTAGTCTTCAAATCTGGGTACTGTCTTACATTTTAAATTCACAAAGGGAGTTTGGTCCCATCAGGCTAACGTGACAGTCATAACTCATGCAGCTGTAAGGTTTTCTTTTTCTTTTGTTTTTACTCGCGATCTTTACAACACGCATTACATTACGTATTTCATGGCACACTCATTTTATGCGTATTTGGTGCCACCTATTGTTGTGGGTGTTATTGTTGTGGGAGTCTAGACCCTGAATATAAGACGACCGTGTTTTTTCAGATGCATTTCCAAGAAAAAAACATCGCCTTATATTCGGGTCAATACGGTATACCTGCCAAAAATAAACATCTATGAAAGCCATTTACATATTCTAACAATCTTCCTCTCCCAATCCCTTCCGCAAAACAGAAAGCGGACCACGTACTATGTAACCAAAAACTAGATCATTTGGGCTAAATCTCAAACTCTCTTGCTGTACCTCTCTAGCTGCAAGCAGCAACCAAGGTAATCCTTCCTCCCAATCGCGGTTCAACTCCACACAATAAGAACACAATAATGCTT